ATGGGGTTTCGGGGGATTCGAGCTCTCAGTGATTCGAGATACGTAGCGGAGTTGATGAAAAAATTCCAGAAGTATAAGGGGTTGTTTGGAATGATCTAAATAAGTGTATTTTTTGCCTTTTTATAAAATATGGGTTGAGTATGGGTTGAATTTGAAGTGATGTGATAAAGAGGTGATGTGACTTAAATAAGATAGTGACTTTTTGACTTTTTGAGGTTATGACAAACAAGACCTAAATTTTATCCAAAACAAAGATTTACATTAAAAGTCATTGATTTTTTTTTAAAAAAAAATTAAATGGTTATTTTGGTAATTTTTTAACTAAAATATAGGTTAAAAAATTTACTATTTTTTTATTTTTTACAAAACAAAAAAGTGCAAAAAGTATAGATAAATTTTTATTTTTATTTTTTTGTATGATTCTTTGACTTTTTAACTTTTTTTTACTGACATTTTGAATTTATTTTTTTTAAGATGTTCCCAAACCAAGTCTTAGAAACACGGAGCACCAAAAACACATGTAAAAAATAAAGAGAAAGGAAAATAACTTTCTTTTTTTTGGTATGATTCCTTGACAATTTAACCTTTTTAATATTTTTTTAATTTTTTGAGATGTTCCCCAACTAAGCCTTACAGTAGTGTTGCGTTAGTGTCTGAGGTACCACGGGGCACCCAAAAAAAAATGTAAGAGGTATTTTAATTAAAAAAATGGAGAAATAACAGTTCAGTTCTTTTCAAGAAAAATAATTATCAATAAGTGATAAATATTACTCCTTCCGTCCTCTATTTTATTTTTTATTGTCCTAAAATATTAGTCATTTTTTAAAAATTAGGAACTAAAAGTAACGTATATTTTCCATTTTGCTCTTCTTTTGACATTAATATACACAAAAAGGATAATTATGACAATTGATATTCTTAAAAAATATTGTATTACCAAAGGATAGTTTTGAAAAATTGTACTACTAAAAATAATTAAATTTCCCAAAATTAATTAATATTTTGAAAAATATATATACATATAAATGTTAATAATTATAATTATAATTATAAATTTTTTCATTGTAATAATTTTCTTTAAGTTATCACATAGAGGTAAGTCAGGTTTGGACTGGGAAGTCGTTTTTGTGTCCTATTCTCTTTTAAGCAGTTATGATGACGAGGGAGTAAGAATGGCAACGGGGTGGGGTGGGGCCGGGGATCACCCTCGTCGTCCTCGATCCCTGATGGCAGAACTTCCCCCCGTCGCTGTCCTCGTCCCCGATGGGGCGGGGAATCCATTACCTCCCCCACTCCTGTCCCCTAACGAGGATCGGGTTTCCCCGACCCAAAAAATTTCCAGTTAAAAAAAAAAAAATCTGTCTAATAGACGACAGAACAATCTGTTCAACACACCCACACAACAACAATCATCAACAACAACATATTTATATATATATATAACAATCATCAAAAAGAAATTAATCATAGATATATATATATATATACACACAGATATATATATATATATACATACACAACAATCATCAAAAAAAAATTTCAGATCTGAGGGAGGGCTCACGGACGGAGGGAAGGCTTCACGAATCACGATCTGACAAAGGGCTTCTCGGACGGAGGGCTTCTTCTTCTTCAGATCTGTTCAGACGGAGGGTTCACGATCTGACGGAAGGCTTCAAGATTTAACGGTGACGGACGGAGGGCTTTACGGACGGAGGGATCTGACGGACGGAACGCTTCACGGACAGAGGGAGAGGGAGAGGAAGAGGGAGAGGGAGGGAGAGAGATGAGACTGAGATTTGAGTCAGTGAATGAGGGAGAGAGAGATGAGGGCCACGGTGAGAGAGAGACACACACAGAGGAAGTGAAATGGGAAAATAGGTGTGGTTTATATATATATATATATATGAGGGGTAAAAGAGTATTTTCACTTCGGGGCCGAGGTCGGGGCCGGGGACGGGGACGGGCCGGGGCTTGAACACTGATCACCGTCCCTGGCCCAAAACTGGTTGGGGATTTAATTTCGAATACCATCCCTGTCCCCACGGGGGTATTTTTCGGGGAAAAACCATCCTAATCGGGGTAAGGGGATCGAGTCCCTATCAGGCCGGGTTCGAATTGCTATCTCTACGAGGGAGAATGGGAATTTCCTATTTGTTTTTCAAAGAGTGTTTTAGAGTGTCGAGACATTTTTTGAAAATGTTATAAACCCCAATCAAATCACTGATTGAATGATCGAAATATGGAATTGACAATCAAATTAACCATCTCATTTATTCATGAAAAAATGATAAAAATCTTAAAAGATTTATTAATATTTTTACTAAATATTTAATATCATGTAAGTTTCATGTAGATTCCACGCACGTGACATTTAGTAAAAATTTTAATAAATATTTTAAAATCTCTAATATTATTTATTTTCAAAAATGCTATGACCTCAATCAATTCACCGAGCGAATAATCAAAAGACAGAATTGACAATCAAATTAACCGTCTTATTTACTCATGAAAAATTGGTTGAGATCTTAAAAAATTTATCAAAATTTCTAGTAAATATCTCATACCATGTGCATCTCATATAAATCTCACCCACATGTGATATTTAGTAAAAATTTTAATAAATTTTTAAAAATTTTAACATTATTTATTTTCAAAAATACTATGGACCTCAATCAAATAACCGAAATGCAGAATTGACAACTAAATTAACCGTTTCATTTACTGAAAAAATGACAGAGATCTTAAAAGATTTATCAAAATTTTTATCAAATATATTATATGAATATGAGACTCATATCATGTGAGTCTCATATGATATGAGTCTCATACCTATATGAGATATTTAATAAAAATTTAAGGAAAAATTATGTAAATAGTCTCTGTATTTTACACGATGTGTCAATTTGGTCGTTGCAGTTTTAATTTGCTCGATTTTGTCCCTTAATTTAATGGATTGTATCATTTTAGTCCAATAAATAACAGTTGTTAAGTTAATTTAACGGAAAGTCAAACAATGTGTCAATTTAGTCCCTATATTTTTCACAATGTGTCAATTTAGTCCCTATCAAAATCAAGGAAATTGAAACTACAGGGACCAAATTGACACATCGTGTAAAGTACAGGGATCAAATTGACACATTATTTGACATTCTGTTAAATTAATTTAACAACCGTTATTTATTGGATTAAAGTGACACAATAAGTTAAATTAAGGGACAAAATCAAACAAGTTAAAATTATAAGAACTAAATTAACACATCATATAAAACACAAGAACTATTTGTTTAATTCACCCAAAATTTAAATAATCTTTTGGAATTTCTCCTACTCGTGCATCACGTAAGAGAAAAGATTGTGAGGTCTACTTGTTTAGGTGGGCAAGGTTTTTTGTATTGGAGTAATTGGTTCCGACTGTATGTCAGTAAAAAAAAATTTACATATTCATAAAAAAATTTATAATTTTAAAAATTAATATTTATAAAAAAGAATTATTAATTTATAATTATTTTTTCAAATCCCTCATTTGATATTTTCCCTTCTGTATTTCGGTAATTACCCGGTCGTTTAGTTGGAATCCGTAGCAGGACTCATACATTTTTTACAATGGAAATAAAGCCAACCGTCTAACTTTTCTTCCACCCAACAACAGTTAGGGGTGAGCATGGTCTGACTTGGACCGGATTGGGGTAAAACCAGGACCAATTCGTTATTTACGGTTTCTGAAAAATTAGAACCAATCAAATCCGTTTAAATCGTGAAACCAATCCGAACCAATCCATTTAAATACGGATTGGATCGGTTTAGGACCACGGATTCACATAATTAAATAACAAAATATATATATATAACACTTTAATTTCATAAAAATATAAACATAGCGCTATATTAGTTCCACAATAGTAACATGTCTTTCTATAATAACGACATACTGTTCTAGAATTTAAACAACTATAAGAAAATTGGTTTCACCATAAGTATTTAGACCATTACAAATTAAAATTAAAAACTAACAAACAAAAGTAATAAAAGACGATATTATGCAGGTTTAGGTTTGAGTTTATGTTTTATATGGAATAAGAGAAGATACTATGGGGGTGGATGTATAATAAAAATATAGACTAATCCGGAACCGTGGAGTTTAATCCGAAACCAATCCGTGGACTACGGATTTTTAATTCTTTAATCCGGAACCAAACCACGGATTCAAAAAATCAATCCAAACCTATCGGATTGGACTAGACTGGATCGGATTACGGATTTCACGGATTCCTTGCCCAGCCCTAACAACAGTAATAGTATATTAATTTTTTGGGTGCTAGTTAGGCATGTTTCGAAACTTTTCATGATTTTATTAGTGAGTTAGGGTATTGATATATTTGGTTATTATTAAAATTTAAAAAAAAACTTTTTAGTAGTGTAAAAGTTGCTTTTTAAAACTTTTTTATTTACTTTTTTTTTTTAATTCAAGAACTTAAATTATGTGTCTTTTGTTTTTAATTTGAAAATTATAAAAATTTCTCACTTTATTTTTAAAATTACATTCATCCTCTTTACTTTTTTTTATCATAAACAAATAAAAAATGTTACTTATAATTGAACATTACTTATAGAAATGTGTCGTTAAACCTGCACAACAATTTTAAGCTTTACTAACTAATTTTTTTGAAATACTTATTAACAACTCAAAAATTATAACATATATTTACAAAATAAAAAAAATTAAAAAATGAGGCCTTCTTCAATTTTTAGCCAAGGCAATTGACTTTATAGCCTTCCAATTGGACTAACCGAAACCACGGCCATCAGCCGAGTCATTTTGTTCTTAAAATCGTGTGTGACAAACCAAGGACGGCGCTATGCCATGGCCTCCCCCAAAGTTCTTCAAAATTCTATTAATACCCATCAATTCTAAGAGTATTTCAATAACGTACAAGAAATGGCTCCCCACACTTGAAAAAAAAAAAAGCTTTTATTGATTTTAGGTGCCATAAGTTTAAACCATGAAAACAGTCTTTCTACAGGAGAATAAAGTTGTACACATTTGACTCTTTTCAAATCCCGTAACATTGAGGACCTTTGCCTTTTTTACACTTACTTCAGCTTCCCGTAAATAAATTTCCCGTCTCCATCCCTGTGACAAACCCAGACCTACCCAAACCCAAATCCATTTGGATTGGAATATTTTAACAAACGCATGTGGGTATTGTGTAAAATATTTCATAATTCATTTGGGTCCTAGCATTGTTGGGAAAGAAAGTAGGATGATTTTTTAGTGTGGGTTAGGACAATGGGAATTTAATTCTCACGAATGCCTTTTCAATCAAGCAAATCTATTTACAGAATCTGTGTTACAACCTAGAAATAAAAAACAGTTCATCTAGGCCCAATGAAATTTTCTGTGATGTTATTCCCAGAAGACTCTGCAAAAGATTCAGGCTGAAAATGATATGTTTCGGGTTGAATAGATGGACTAATTTCCGTACTAACAGAGTTCATAAACGGTGGCTGCATTGCCAGAGGAATCTCATTCTCATTCTTGATCATTTTCACAACCATCGACATAGATGGGCGCAATTCTGCAGCGGCTTGTACGCAAACTAGTCCAATTTCAAGTAATCTAGAGGCTTCGTGTTCCTGAAATTTACCCTCCAGGGATGGGTCAATTGCTTCGCTTAGTTTTCCCGTGCCATAAAGGTTCCACACCTATTAAAAATAAAAGTTGATTAAGTTTCATGTCATGGAAAAATAAGGATCATATGTTGAGAAAATTAATAAAGTACCATTTGTAGGATAGAGTATGAATTTTCGGAGAAAGTGTTGTTCCTTTTTCCGGTGACAACTTCAATTACAAGAACTCCGAAACTATATATGTCTGCCTTTTCTGTCAATTTGCCACGAGTTACATATTCTGGAGCCATGTAACCTCTACAGATATAGATTTGTTCATTACTCGACTGGATTATATACATATAATGTGACCAATATTTGATACAGGTCAAGATGGAAGAACAAACTCTGAAATCAAGGAGGTTAGTAGTGTGTTCATCAATAAAATCTAGCTAGTAAAGAATCTGAGATGTTGGTTGTGTTTCCGGGGTTTTGTTTTATTTTTTGAAAAACACAAAAAACTTATTTGGTGAACCTTTTTATTTTTATTTTTATTTATTATGGAAACTGTTACGTATCCACTTTTAAGGAAAAACTAAAGAGTTGTTTTCAAAACTCTTTCACACAAAAATGAGAATATTTCAAAATGAAGAGTGCTGTTGAATTTTCGTTGCTTTTTATTATTTAAAACGTGAAAAACATATTCAACATGGTCTGGACACATAATTCTAACCTTCAAGGGAGAAAGAAACGTTTGAAATGCAATGTCAATTTTTACAAGCACAAAATGTGAAATTTATCAGAAAAGAAATGAATTGCGCTGTGCACGATTTTTGCAAGGTTCGTAATACAAGGCATGAAAAAAACTAAAGATCAATCAAAGTAGGTGTTGAAAACTTACAGTGTGCCTGCAATGGCAGTGCTAATATGAGTCTTATCTTCTGGAAATAATCGAGCAAGCCCAAAATCAGCAATTTTTGGTGTAAAATCGTCATCAAGAAGAACATTGCTCAATTTTATATCTCTGTGAACGATTCTCAACTCTGATTCCTCATGAAGATAGGCCAAGCCCTCAGCGGTGCCCAATACGATCTTATACCTCAGTTCCCACCTCAGTCGATGAACATCCTTTCTCACTGAATCAAATCAACAAACATATTACTAAAACGATTTGATAAAATTAAACAAATAAAATAAATAAAATTGGATGGATGAGATAGCAACCGAAGAAGTGGTCATTGAGGCTTTGATTTGGGACAAATTCATAAACAAGAAGGCTTTCGGGGCCTGTAATGCTGCATCCTAACAGCTTTACGAGGTTTTTGTGATGAATGCCACTAATCAGATTGACTTCATTGAAGAAATGATCCATCCATTGTCTTGTATTGAAGAACAGCCTCTTCACAGCAACAACCTGTCCATCTGGCAAAATTCCCTGTACAAAAAAAAGAAGTCTTAATTAACTACAAAAGTGAAACTACGCTTCTCGGTAAAGAGAAAAGTTGGATTGTGAAAGTAGTAGTACTTTGTAAACTGAACCGGACCCTCCTTGACCGAGCTTGTTGGAATGGTGAAAGTAGTTTGTGGCCCTTTCAAGTGTTTCGTATGAAAAATTGAGCGCAGACTTGTTGACAATGGCCAATAGGGCACCTAGTTGCTTCCTCTCTGCATCAATATAGTGAAATTTTAAGCAATGACTTTTAAAAAAATAAAATAAATCTTAGATTTCAGATGTGGATTTATACCTCTTCTCTTCTTCACAATTTTTTTCCTTGTAATGAAAGAAATCATTGCCACAGTAAGCAGAAGAGCTACAGCAGCAGAAGTTGCAGCAAGAATAATGGCTAAGTGACTCCTTCCTGATGAAAATTGACATAGGATTGTGTTAATTCAGAGCAAAAATCAAGTATTTATATGACAAAATGCAGAAACACAATTACAAAGAAAATACTATTGGGAACATTGGAAAGTGAGAGCACTTTCACTACATCAACTAACAATATAATTATCCAATTTACATTCTTGAAAGATTAAAAAAAAATGTCTTTGTTTTAATTATTATTAATCTTGCTAATTGAAGTGAAAAAAATAGAGCATTGATTAACAAGTGTGATGATGACAAATTGATCGTTGCTAGCTGTATAGTCATGGAAGAAATCCTAATCAAAGTATATCCTTTTTTCAAGTAATGTCAAATGAAAAATTGTGATTTCTCATTTAAGTAAGCAAAGAAAAAAAACATATATATATATATATATATTTCTTCACTGTCCTGTTTGGATGAGTAAGAAAGTAAAATATGTGAGGGAAGAATATAAATGAGATTGTTTTCCCTTTTATATTTTAATGGATAGCGTTGGTATAATGAAAGATTTATTTGTTTCCCACAAAATCTCGATCTGAAACATGCAAAAATTATATTTTAATGGATAATGTCGGTATAATGAAAATTTTATAACCAATACGTTTGTTTCCCACAAAATCTCGATATGAAATATGCAAAAATAAGAGAGTTCCATTTCTTACCTAATTTATAAACAAAACTTGAGAAATTCTTTCTATATCATTTCTTATTATTTTTACCAAATCACCCCATGTGTAAAGAACTTGGAAATTTCAAACAATCAAGAGGATAGAAGAACTTCAATTCAAGTAAAGCATATGGAACAAATTCACTTCAAAAAAAAAAACTAAATAGAAACTATAGCAAGGGTGAGTTTTCCTCTTGAACCCACTTCAAGGCGAACTCAATTTCTCGGCAACCAAACACCAAAGTTACAGAAAAAAAAAAAAAAAAAAAAAAAAAAAAAAAAAAAGATAAATGGAACCTCAAATCATTCACATTAATACAATAAATGCTCAAAGGAAAGTAGAACTCATGAAAGACAACTCACCTCCTCCATTTCCCTGTGATGCATCAGTGTCTGAATTGTTATAAAACTTGCGAGTAGAATACCTCAGATAACAACCAGCATTCAACACCCTCCCTTCTTCCTTGTTTGGAAGGCAAGAAACTATCCCAGAAACCCCTTTCTCCAAACAACTCTCACAATCACTCCCATTCACAAACTCCCAACACTGAACCAACCCATAAACAGACAATTTCCCTCTATTCACGGACCCCACAAAAAACCCACCATTTTTAACCCCTTCCACACTCAAATTCTTCACCAATTCAACAACATTCTCTCTCAACAGACTCTGATTCCCACCAAAATCATCACCATTCCCACACACAGTCCTATCAAAACCACTCAAACTCTCATTAAAGAACATATAATCATCATATCTCAAGTAACACCCATCAAAGAAAAGTCTGCCACCGCGAATCAATCGTTGAAAAGGGAGGCATTTGAGGATTTGGGTTTTGATTTGTGCAAAACAGAGATTGCAATCTGTTTGAGACAAGTCTTTCAAGCACTCACCAAATGCATACACTGTTGTATTGACTGTGCCTTTGATTACAGCTCCGTAGCTTTGGGATGTGATGAGAGGGGTCAATGAGTCCATGGCTGATAAAAAGTTGGAAACAAAAGCTTGACGAGCAGAGGATTGTGCAGTGGTGTTGGTGCATATGAGAGCTGACTGTGTAGCTCTTGGATCTGAGAGAGTTTGCTTGAGAAAGAAGAATGAGAAGATGAGAATAGATAGTATTGGGAAAGACATTAGCGGCTCCAAAAGTTGCAGAGGATTTGGGAGAGATTATGTTTGTTTGTTGGGTTCTAAAATGGTGTGGATGATTGAGAATTTAATGAGCAGTAACCATGGGGGTGATTGTTGGGTACTCGCCGTGGTGCTCTATGCTATTATAAGTGGTGAAAAATGTGAGATATATAATTTTGTATTAGTTAATTGAAAATTTTGATAAATAATAATTGATGAAAAAAATATTCTGATAGTAAGAAGTATCTAATAATTTTGTATCATAGGGGGTGGCGGTGAAAAGAAAGGGAAGTACATTTGACAATACCCTTGTTTGGTAAAATTTATTTTCAACTTATTTCAATTTTTAATTTAATTTAAGTTATTTTGATGTGTTTGGTTTAACTTAACAATATAGTTTATAATTTTTTGTAAGTCAAAAATCAACTTATTCTTTGAGTGGGGGAGAAGAAGCTTAATTTATAAATCAAAAATTAACTTATGTTCACAACTATAAGCTTTAAGGTGTTAAGTTATAAGTTATAATCACTTTCCTACAACTCTACCAAACGAGGCCAATGGTGATTCCAAACAATGAAAGAAGTAAGGGTGTGTTTGTTCAGAGTGTGTTTGTTTGGATGAATTGAATATGGAAGGATTAAAATTTATCGAATTTGAAGTTTGAGACTAAAATCTCTCAAACTATTTGGTTGGATTGGATGTGTAGCCTATGTTTATTTTCTCATGGGATTAATTGTCTGAAAATGACTATTTTATTTAATCCAATATTTGATTAGATGGACTGGATAAAGATAAATTTCAAAAGATTATTTTAACTTTGTAATTTATAATTTATATTTTTTATTTAATATATAATTTTAAATTTGTAATCTATAATTTAACAACACTAAAAAATTTTAATTTATAAGGCTATAATTTTTAATTTATTATTTTTAATTAAATTAAATTTATAATTTATATCTTTTATTTAATATATAATTTGTAATTTATAATTTATAATTTATAAATGTTCAAAAGACTAAGAAAAAAAATGTAATAACAACACTAAAAAAAACTAATTTATAAATATTTTTAATTTTTTATCATTTAATTTAACAACACTAAAAAAATTTAATTTTTAAGGCCATAATTTTAATTAAATTAAATTTATAATTTATAAATGTTCAAAAGACTATTTTACCATTTTTTCAATTGTTTACCAAGTAATAGTATGAGGGTAAAATAGATATTTCACGCATTAATCACATGGGATACCAATCCCCTAGAAATAATCACACACACACCCTGCCTCCCTCCCTCCCCCCGATTATTTAGTCTCTCATATGAGGGACATGGAGTCCGGCCAAACTCCATGTCTGACGGACTAAAGTTGCACCAAACGATAAACATCCCCCCTCTAATGGATTCAAGTCCAAACAGTGTTTAGTCCCTCCTAATCCTTCCAAACAAACAGCCCCAAGGGTGTTTATAGAAATTGATTTGACCTATTTTGATTGGTTGGGTGACGTATAAAATTATTCATTTATTTTTTCTTAGATAAACTTCACTTTACTTTCTATGGTTTGGGTCGAGTGCGGTTTACCCCCATTGACATACGAAAATCACCACATAACCCCCATGTGGTTTGTGGACTAAAGTGCACTATTAACTTTTCTGTCTAACGTAACGGAATGTGAGAACCACTCACCTATGTAGAAAGTAAGCTCATTTTGAAGACGAAAATGTCCCTTACACAACTTCAAATTTATTTTTTTTAAAAATGCTATTTTTTTTTTCTCTACTATATCTCTATCTACTCTATTTCTACATATCCATCAACACTTTCTATACTTACCGGAAAACATCACAATAACATCACAATGCCATTCTTTTGTCTGCCATGGAAATCTAAAATTAATATCTTCTCTCTTTTTTTTAATCTTTCCCAATCAAAGATATATATATATATATATATGTACAATTTTGACACACATAAATATATAGATGCACAGTGAACATATATATATAGATGCACGATTTTGACACACACACATATATAGATGCATAGGTATATATGTGTTATATATTTCTAGAATCAACATGTTTTTAGAATCATAAAATTATTTTGGATTCATCAACATCATCATCCAAAACACAAAGCAAAAACCATGGAGTTTATGAATTGGAGTACAATCAAAGAGCAAAAACTTTGGGTTTTTGTTTTGGGTTTGATATGTATATATGAATAAACTGGATTTGATATGTATATATGTATATGTATGTATATATAATCAAGAAAAAGATAAAGATGAGATTGTGTTTGTGTTTGTGTGTGTATATATATATATATATATATGTATGTACACATATAAAGTTTAAAATAGAGAGAGAGATAGATGTGGGTTTCTCCAGAAATGGAGAGAGATGAAGACAATGGTATAATTGTCAATTTAAGGCCTCGTTTGGGAATAGGCTATTTTAGTAATTTTTTAGTTTTTTACGAAAAGATGTACAGAAAAGTAGAGAGGTGATGTAACTAGTTTTAGTTGACTTTTTGGCTTTTTGGCTAAAATAGCCACTCTCCAAATGAGGCCTAAGTGTGCATTTCAATCCAGTAACTACATGGAAGTTATATGGTGATTTCTGAATATAGAACGATAAACCGCATCCAGCCCAAATCAAGGAAGTAAAGTGAAATTTGTCTTTTTTTTCTTTCATTTATAGAAAGTATCACATATACCTATCAAAAAAGTAAGCGGGATTCATCAACATCATCATCCAAAACACAAAGCAAAAACCATGGAGTTTATGAATTGGAGTACAATCAAAGAGCAAAAACTTTGGGTTTTTGTTTTGGGTTTGATATGTATATATGAATAAACTGGATTTGATATGTATATATGTATATGTATGTATATAAATTCAAGAAAAAGATAAAGATGAGATTGTGTTTGTGTATATATATATATATATATATATGTACACATATAAAGTTTAAAATAGAGAGAGAGATAGATGTGGGTTTCTCCTGAAATGGAGAGAGAGAAGAAGAATATGACGACGATGGTATAATTGTCAATTTAAGGCCTCGTTTGGGAATAGGCTATTTTAGTAATTTTTTGACTTTTTATGAAAAGATGTACAGAAAAATAGAGAGATGATGTGACTAGTTTTAGTTGTCTTTTTGACTTTTTGGCTAAAATAGCCACTCTCCAAACGAGGCCTAAGTGTGCATTTCAATCCAGTAACTACATGGAAGTTATATGGTGATTTCTGAATATAGAAGGATAAACCGCATCCAGCCCAAATCAAGGAAGTAAAGTGAAATTTGTCTTTTTTTTTCTTTCATTTATAGAAAGTATCACATATACCAATCAAAAAAGTAAGGGTGTTTATGTACATATTTTGTGGTAAATCAAAATCAAACTAATCCTTTATGGAGCCAAAATTTTGTTTGTTTGGTTCGATTTTTCAAAAATTATTTTTAGATGAATTTTAATTTATTTTTATTATTTTTAAAATATCTTAAATATTTTTTTGTTTATTTATATTTTTTAGTTGTACCTAATCAAGATGTATTTAAAAAGTAAAATAAATTGATTAAAAATATTTTAAAAATTACTAAAAACAAACAAAAATTCGAACAAAAAACTAGATGCATTTTTGTTCACATTTTCGTTTTTTTTTAGTGATATATATATATATATACATATATTTTTTTCCATATGCATCTAATCTTGATATATCTAAAATGTAAAAAAAAAATAAATGACTAAAATATAAAAAAAAATTCTGTAACGATAAACAAAAATCAATTTAAAAATAATTTTTTGAAATTTGTAACCAAACAAAATCAAACCAAATTGTGAAAGTTTTGTAATCAAATTGCAAAAAACATTTTGGTTCTCACAAAGTTCTACAGTTCTAGGTCAAAAAATTTATCACTATATCTTGACTTTCTAATTGAATAAAAAAATATTTTACCCATTCCAAAAAACTATTAAGCATACCTCGAATTTTAAGAATATTCTCTAAATTAATTTTATAAGTGTAAACGCAAATAAATTCTTTATATTTTATAGCAATTATTACTATATAACGCACTTCTTAATAATATAAGAAATATAAAATTCATATAAATACTAAAAAAACTATACACATATTATTTTTTTTTATAAAAAAAGAGAAAATTACGTACACCTACCTTGAGATTTAGCTAAATTACAAATTCTCCCCCTGAAGTTTCAGAAATTATATCTCGTCTTTTGAGATTTATATTTACATAACAATTTAACCCCTACCGTTAACTAAACATTAAAAATGATTAGCTGGCATCACCAAAGCATAAATTGATAGACGATATTATCCCTTTGATAAATCATGTTTGATTTTTTGGAATCATGTTTGATTTGTTGTTTAGAAAAAAATTTTAAAATTTTAAAATAAAAGTAAAAACTAATTTAATAAAAATAAATATGAAAAAATATATTTAATTTGTAAAAATTATTTCTAAACAATCAAAAGGTAAAATTATATAAAAATAATAATTATTTTTTATTTAACCAAATTAATTTTTAATTTTTTTTTAAACAATTTAAAAATAAATTTCTGAAAAACAAACCAAACATATTCTATGAATTTTTTGATAAGTCATTTCTTGTGTTTTTAACTTATTTAATTATTTGTTAATTTTATGATATTTTCACCATTTGATACAACAACATATAAAAGTTTTAAAGACCAATTTTTTTGATTTCTAAAAGTGAAATTTTGTTACAAAAGACATTTAGGGATTAATTTCTATCGTCGTGAGGATAGTCGCTAAAAAGTCATCCTGAAAAGTAAAAAATAAGGCTTTTAACGATAAAATTTCAAAAATGTCAATAATAAATAGATTTTTAAAGGCAAAATAATTTGGTCTCAAAATGGTTTATTTTTTGAGACAAAAAATTTGATTTCAAAAAGATAACAATTAATCACCATTGTTCAATTTTCGTTGCTAAAAATATAATAATAATATTTTTCTCAAAAAAAATATTTGGTCTCCTAAAAATAATTTTGTCCCTAAATTTTGGCCTCTGAAACCTTAATTTTTTGTAGTATGATAAGTGTTTTTCCATTTTAATTTTGCATTTCATAACTTATTTAAAAATG